CAAACCAAATCTCATCAGTACTCTGATGCTTCATACTAGAGATGCGATTATTGAACACCTTATCAACAATGACCATTACATGTCAGCAAATCCATCCTTTAATGCAATCTGCAAAGTGAAGAACAACTTGACAAAGACAATACGCTTTCATCTCTTTTTCACTGTTGAAGCTATATCCATTCAGGTGGGAAAGCCTGAGCTCTGCATACAAAATAAAATTATTCAGCCACTTCTGTCATCACTGTTACAACTCTGTTGTTTTCTATTAACTTGATTTCGTTAACTCATTTTTACCTCTTCGTATCTCTTGCATTTCTTCCGAACACCTACGTAACTTCACATTTTCCTTCGTTTCTATGTGCATCTTGATTACAACTCATTCATTAAATTATTCATCTTATTACGTAACTCTAATATACTTATTCAAATCCTCTTATGCACTGACTGATTAATATGAATAAATATGACATTGACATTTTGACACTGTTTAAATATTGTTAACAAACATATCACCACTTGTTTGGTAAATTCTTGTGTATTGTAAAAATGCTATATATATTAGAGTAGAGCCAGAGAAGAGGATCTAACTGAAAAGTAAATATTTCTTCGCTCAATCTTTTGTGTTTTCCAAATGACTAAATGGGGATATTTTCTATATTGAAATATGATTAGGACAATTCAGCACTTTCGTCACTACTCTCTCTCTCTCTCGTGAGAAATCGTCTGTAAATGAGACTGGGAGTGAATTCACTGAATTTACAGGGACTCTACACTGAACTACATGTTTCTCTCTTTTCACTAGTGTCTGGATGGGTATGATTCATGAAAGAAGAATCTGTACAACCAACACTCTGGACGATGAAGTGGGGAAAGTATAAAACTCGTTATGTATGAATGAGTATCCAGGAAAGATTGTTAAATTCTCCATGATGAGAAGAGACTGAGTATTTAAAAATGTAATTGCTCCTCTTGAAATAGGTGCTTAGGTGGAAGAACGTGGCAAGCCCATGACCGCCATCTTGAGCATTTCCCATTGTGGTTACGAAAGGGAATCGTGTTGTCAGTCGGCAGTCCTGTATTTACGTGTGCCACTTAGTGGATACGAAGCACATAACTGATGAAAATTCAGTCTTTCAAATAATATTATATAGGAGGTGCCACCTAAATTCTCTAGCCTTGAACGCCTTCGACTACAGAGCATAGCTGAGGCGGTTACCACAAAAGATTTTCAACCCAATCTATGTGTTTAGACGAAGTGTGTTCGATCCCTCTCCCTAAAATGGCCTTCACCACCAACGTAGAACAGTCATCTTTCCCAGTGAAACCGGATATCTGTAAATATTATTTCTAATTGCACTGCTAACTTTGTCTTCATTATCACTACCATGCTATGCTATAAATCCATATTTTAATCTTACTTTCACAATTTGTTATAAAAACCAAACAGTTATCTAATCACTGTGAGACACAAGTTATCCTTCCTTCCATCGCTGCGAGTAAACACATTCTACTAACGCATGATCTTAGCTCAGAGAGCCGAGAAGTTACATTCTACTGACACTTTCATAACGGCCGACGACCCAGATTATATAAACACTTGTGTGGATTTCTGCTCTTTATTATTATTATTATTATTATTATTATGATGATGATGATCAACCCGACTACCAACCACTAATTCTTATGCCCAGAATTCAATTTCAATAATCACATTGGTTTCAAACGTCTATGAGTCATTCATATTTTATGCAGATGCAAAGCCTGATGAGAAATTACCGAAAATACGTATTTGTCTAAATGATTTTCTCTAATTCGTATTTCACAGTCAACTGAGATTTCCCTGTGCCGTGAAAACTGTACCGATTACAATTGATTTACATATCTGAGGAACAGAAAATAGATCACATGAAAGAAGCAAGTGATAAAGGATATAGACAAATACACTTGACACATCACTGTCGACACGGCTGCACTGATGTTTAAAACAAATTTGTAAGCAACAAAACTCATCTGGAATCATATCAGAAGTGGATACACTGCCGCCACATTTGATTGAGAGTCACGTCACGAAGATATGTTATTTTATTAGTTCCATTTAATGACACCAAGCATCTTTGTTGTACAGGATGTTCAAGATATGCATCTCAGTGTGCTTATGTTTCCCGAGATGAATGGTCTAAATGCACAGTCTTCATCGCTTTTTGAAACAACATCAGTGCTATTTACGAGATGGATCTACAATAAACTCACATGTCACACCACAGTCTTTGACGACTGTTAGCGATATACATCATTTTAACGCATCCCATGAGGTTATAAACGACAACCTCTCCTATTTTACTATCAGGTTTGGAAACCAGAAAAAGAAGGGAGATTGGTATTGGACTAGCAACGCACCTTACAATAAACTAAGTTATTGCTACTGGAACTTCAGAGTTAAGAAAAAATAAACTTACTCACCTCTGTGATCAGGTAGGACGCATGACGCTGATTGGTGAAAGCCAATGGAAAGCCAGTCGGCCGATATATTTTTTTTCTTAATGAAAGCGAGAACAAGCATAAGAACGTAAAATGTTCACAAGACATTCCAGACTAACTGGTAATGACACTCAGACTGCAGGAGATATGAGTAACTATGAAACTATTTATCAAGAAATACATCTTTTCATAATAAAGACTTTGAGTGCATGAAAGTGACATGGAAGAAAACCTGTAAAGACATTTTTGACAAGCGAAGGGACAGGGGCAAGAAATGGTTTAATACGGACACCTGAAAACTAGTAGGAGAAACAAGAAAACGCCTGACTAATCAATTCAAAGGACACCTTTATCGACCATCAACAATACCACCACGGAACCACGAGTGGACGTTGATACCTAAAACCTCATAAAGTTTCTGAAAGCAGTAGGACTAGATGAAAGCCCTCAGAAGGTACTGTGAACAAACTGAGGGGCATCAGAAAACATGCTTATAACACTACTGCGGAAGATGTGGAGAAAAGTTGAGATACATGCCGACTGTAGGGATAGCTGTCTTGTTTAACTCTCCCAAAAATGTGACTCAAGCCTATGCAAGAAGTGGTGTGACATCATATTCCTGTCCACCAAAACACAGAATATTCAGTCGCATCATCCTGGAAAGGCTGAAAGACGTTTCGGGTGGGAAACGTTGCTCGGAACATTCTGAATCCAAGATATACAAGTAATGTAGGCACTAAGATAATATTGACTGCGAATTAAATTGGTACCTGTTCCAAAACTTTGGCAGGTAGAACCACATATCGAGTAATTCACAACAGAAGACACAGTGAAGCGTTTGAAGTGAAGATAGTAGCAAGTCAAGACTCCCTATTATCATCGATGATAGCCCTGATTGTGGTGGATTGAATCATGCGGTGTACCATAGAGAATGAGGAGATGGACATGCATTGGGCTGACGAAAATATACCTGAAAGTCTGTGTCTGGTGGCGCCAAACCTGAAAGATTTACGAGAGAAAACCAACAGACTGTCAGGAGAGACAGTGAAAACGGGACTTCAAATGACCACAGAAAAGACAGACATGTTGGAGATAACCAAAGTCTGTCGCTAGTCACCATCAAATGGAAACATCTTAAGGAAATCGCCTCTTCCAATTACCCGGACAGCATTATTTCAACTACAGAGGGACTGTACCAAGGGAGATTTCATAGATAGTCAATATCGGATGGGAAAAATACTTGACACAAAGAATAAGATCCTAATTTTCATCACTAATGTATAGTTAGTGCTTCCATATTGTTGAGAGACTTGAGTTGCGTGCCCACAACAATATTCCCCACAGGCTGCAGACTTTCACCATATTCTAAGTTCTCTCTATATTCAAGTTGAAATGACCAGCCAAATCGGATAAACATTAAGGCAATCTAACAGTTAGCCAACTAACTACCAACCCGTTGCCCAACAAGTATGCAGAATGAAACTGAAATGGCTTAGACAAACGCTGATAACACCATCAAGGATCATCACACCCCAGATCACAGAGTTATTTCTCACGATTCTGCAGGTAAATGAATAAAATCAATTTCCATGACTAGTCATAAAGAATTGATGACAAGTTTGGTATTTCCAAACAGTGAATTTTTTCACAACCGGTACCTTCATAACAAATCTTGAAACAGCAAGCAGTTTGAAACTTGCACGATTCTCATACCTAAGAGTGGAGTTGGATGCAGACATAAACAATGAAAAATATATACGCTACAAATGAATGCAGAACGGTAATTAAAAGAAAGTCACCATAGTTTCACGAGAAAGCAATTCGTGGAAACACTCTTTACGTCAGTATATATTTATCCACACTGTACAAAATTTTAGACTACCAGTTTCTGTTGACCACCTGAAAGAGCATATATGATTCAAGCCGTGAGTGCGATTGCTTCATGTCTGATTACCATTGATAACACATGCTACGCCAAAGCGTTATCCACTGGATTACTTGAGGCACGACAGCCACCTCTTGTGCAATGAGTGTCAGTTGTTATCATTTATTTCTAATTCACTTTCGAATTTTCGTCCAATCCATCAACGGGAAAATCAAAATTGAATGGAAAATTAATAAGAGTTACCTCTTGATCACTTGCCAAGTAAGTTGATTAGAAAATCAAGGTAGAATCCCAAATAAACAAACATTTGCCACACACAGTTTAAAGTGTGAAGCTGTTGCTTATTCATTTCCATCAACAATCACAAGGGAAACAAGCATGACTGACACTTGGGAAGAAGATATATCATACAATAAAACTGACCATGGATTCCCCCTACACTCACTTATACACAATCTGCATTTTTCAGAATTACGGGGTAATTTAGTCGATCATCTGTCTCATCCATGTTTATTCAAAACTGATACTTATCTGTTTGCAGCAGAGACTTGTAATTTCATGTGAAATATTAGCTGAATAGTTTGTGTAAAGTTATACTTCTCAATTGAAAATAGAAACTGAATGAATATTAACTTACTCTGTGTTTTACAGGTGACGATGTCTTGACTGTCTTCCTGTGAAATGTTGATGAGGTGTTGTTGTGTCCCTTCACTTATGTCTAAATGACAGTTCTGTTGAGGCTGAGACTCGTTTCGTTCTCCCACACTATTATAACGAATCAAACTAAGCCTAACTGGCCCATAGGCTTGCTTCAGCAATCTAGCTGCAAACGGATACACTGAACTAATTTTTGTGGCATTTTCGTTCAAAGCTTTCATTTCGTCATCTGCACAGTTAAAGTGTAGCCTTGCGTCATATTTATCAGACGGTCTAACAGCATGAGTGTCATCGGGATATGTAGAACTATTATCACCGTTGTTCACTATATTCGGTGAATTCTTGATGAGTTGGTTTTGTTTAACAATTATTTCTTGATGGCTGTCAGGTAGTCCATGCACCTTTGCGCTGAAGTCCTGCGTGTTACAGGTATAAGGAATTTCTGAAGGTGAAGATAATAGGCTTATAGAATTTACAGCTATCAACTGATCACCTGCTTTCAGTTTCCCTGACTTATCTGCCAATCCATTTGGTGTGACTGACTTAATAAATAATCCAGTTTGGTTACCTGAATAGAAGGAAATCAGAAAACATCACATTTCACGTTCACCAGTCAGTGTATCAGAAGTGAAAACATGTTGTCAAATTCCCGTGACTGATAGAAATCTGATTGTCAGTTGTATACAAGGTGAGAGGAGGATGGATGTTTCAATCAAGTGAAAGACAAATTATCTAAGTAAGCTTGTGCTCCTCTGTATTTTCCAGTGGAAAGCGTTCACAAATTTTGTACAATTTCCCTGCTACCAAACGTAGACAATCACGAAGCTTGTATGTTGGACGGAGTATACTTATACTTACCGAGCTCTCATCATTGTCTATAAATGTCAAACTCACAGTTTACACCTCATAGCCAAATTACATCAGTAGATTACATTTTCCAATCGATTTGTCGAGATTCCGGACGAGAATTAGTCATTTTGAAAATTCACACTTCCAGTGTCATTTCGACTGAGAAATGTCAATGTTAAGAGCTCGAATTTCCTCTAGCTTACCAAATCTCAATGACGATGGAGAATATCCAACGCCAGTACGTTAATAGATTTCACTTCGTTTCTTTATATATTGTCCACTTTTTGTTCCATAAATCACCGCTTATTTTAGTTTTTACAGTCTTTTTGTTTCGGCCAAGCGACTGGAATTTCGTGAGGTCACTTTAGTCTCAATAACGTAAGCATTTATTGTACTGAATCGACACAAATTTCACTCATTGTCTACTCCAAGAACCATTCAATTCTGATTATTCTTCGTCTAACTATCCTTTCTCTCGTATATCTCCTTTCATTAGAGTTTCTTTGAATAGTTTTTTCTCCACCTACTCAATGTGTGCCCTCTGAAGTGGGCCGAATTCAGCTGATGCACCGTTCTACGACATTCTACACTGAAATTCAGTTGATGTCAGTCAGTTCAGTGACGGATTGATTTGAATGGGGAGAAAATCTGTGGTGAGTAGAATAACAAATATTAACCTGTAGAAGGTACTGTCTACATGGATTGCTAAAGTAATTCAAGAGATGTGTGATGACTGAATATGGGAGAGAGGCTTTAATCCCCTCCCCTTATTCATGCGTACTTGGTTTGTGATTCATGCATTCATGCATTCAACTCGTTTCACTAGAAATCAAATAACAGATATACGTCGCAGTTGAGCTGGCGTCTTAATATACACAGATGTTTCAACATATAGAGGAAACTTTATGCAGCTTAGTTAGCACTAATTCCCATTTGGAACTTCACTCCACCGGTGTGCTGTCAAGAACGCCGAGTGAATAAAATGTGAGAACTACTTTCAGTTTCCCTAAAATTCACTGCCAGTGTCACAACGGTATTCCGAAAGATAAAAATACGTCCAATATGTACTTAAAGTCCACTGATTTGATGTTCTTCAGTGAATCAAAGTGACCTGTTTCTATTGAAATGCTGGCTTGTTTGACACTATGACATGTTTTGAAGTAGTAGGGCGACAAGACACAACACTCACTGACCTAGCAGATAATCCTTGAAATTATCAGCTGGGAATTTAAGAGGATTATTTTTAGTAGGTCACGTGTGCAGACAAATATTCAACATGTCGAAAATGGTGTGATTTTCGTGTTCTGAGTTCATTGAAGGGAGTGACACTAAACCGATACAAATAAACTTATACATTCACACCTGACTACTCACAGTAGTATAATGTTCTCACAAATTATTTAGTACCTCAGGAGAATTTACTTGCATTAATTCTGCATTCTCCTGCTTATCGAAGCAACACTAATTGAACATGTAGATAGCAATAAACTCACTTATTTCACAGCGAAGTAAAAAGTGAAGAATTAGAACCTTGTGAGAGAGTGTTACACCGCAGGATTGAGTCGACTCCCACTTCATAACACCCGATAAACTGCAAACGTCCATTTGATAAGAGAAACAGGGTACTCTGAATGTAAGGTAAGGAAAATCGCATAGGTACAAGAGGCTTCTATCACAAACGAGTCCGAAGCCATTATACCGAATTCCCTAAGCAGCCTCAAATTTGTTGAATACCTAGAGATGGACTAGAAGTTTATCTCACTATTCATAAATATTTAAGTATTGGTATTCGTAAATAACTTACCATGAGTTGGATTAAGCTTTGTTTCCACTAATGTAACTCCCAGTGATTGACCTTGAGACCGTTCCAGAACAATTTCAATCTGTTGAACACTTGGGTGTTCTGAAATGGGGACTTAAAACGAGAAATAGTTAGACAGTATGATAAACATCTTAGGAAAATCCTCCTCAGCATAATTCGAATGACGGTGAGAAACAAATCGCCTCAGTCGCCACCAAGCCATGCGTGGAGATTTCAGATTTACTGCAAAACATTCAAGGTAGCTGTCTAAAACTAGCAACCATGAATTGGTAAATTTCTGTGAAACTGTTTGGGTGAATTATCTCTCTACCTACACGCATGGGCTAATTGGCAGGGATCAATTTCATACTATGGAGAAGTGAATGCCTACAGAACCTTGAACAATATGTTCACAAAACAGATGCCAATTTAACTCGATAAATCGATACAGTCATTCAGACTATTTCAAATTTAAGAACTTAGAACATTAACTGTTATGCAGTAACTGATAATTCTATACGATTCAATAAAGCAGTAATAATAGAGAAGATTTGTAGCTCAGGTGGATGATTTGCAATTAAAGTGTTCTCTGAGCTGGTTGGTTTGGTTGCAGAGCTATTATTGCAAAGCAGTAATAAATGTCACCTGTGCTATATGTGCCACAATCGAGTAAGAACCAAGCAAACATGTCGTATGGATGCTGAGATACAGTGATTTTACGGCGATGGGAAGTGTGTGAGTAGTAGTCACACGCTCTGAAACACTATGCATACCAACCACTAGCGATTTTCTTTACCTGGAAATGGGATGGGAAACGTCTTTTCAGTGTGCGACTTCAGTCTCCATTTCTGAATAGCCAAAGCCGTAACAGTTGAAAGCAAATATTTCTCAAGACTACCGGAAGATTATGTCAAAACTTCAACGGGGAAGTGAAGCAAATTTCCGGCACTGTTAGTTTATCTGTATACATGTTCACTTAGTCAACGCAATTCGTACAGTTAATGCATAAGATATTTCTCAACAACTTGCAATAAAGTTCATGGTAGAAGTTGTTGTCATCAATTTCCGAGTAATTAAACATTTAGGAACAGTCTTATTTTCTCATCACTGGAAACCAAGAAGTCAGTTTTGTTCCCAAGTTTGTTGCCGAAATGTCTTTTCGAATGTCAAATGTTTGTCATTGTTGACCAACAATGGAATATTATATGTTGTCGTTCTCACCATTGGGTGTGCAGAATTCCGAAGCTCTGAAAGTTGATATTTGGTCTTCTGTAAGTGGTATTTGATAGCAAAATACACCTAAGGCTTTCGGTAATCTCACTAGATATAAATATACATGTATATGTTGAGTTGACGCATCCGGATGATATCAACAGCCTCAAGAAAGAATTTTATCTGATAAACTTCAGTTTCCTTGCATCGGAATTCCTGCATATTCTTCTGAAATGATCATAGCGAAGCACCATCAGACAGTTACCATTTTCTGACAATCTATAACAAGTTGGGCACTGACATACTGCAGTAAAAAAACTAACATCTCATGGCTCCATTCATAAACAGCATAAATGGAATTAAAATGTAGATCATGAAAGGTGAGAAAAGTAATAAAATAAACAGCGATCAAGTAGTACACGTTCGCCCGAATGTCTGTGTTTATAAGAGATGACTAATGGTAGATTTACGTTAGAAAACGTAGAATTTACTCCTCACTTATTTTGTGAAGGTATTTTGATAAGGTTGAGTGAAAGCAGAAAGAGCAAATGCATTTGATTAGCATTCCCCACCATTAACTTAGGAGATATTCATTTATAATCAAAGTATGAATATTTATATTTCTAGAGTATTACAAAACAAAAGTCTATGCCATATGTCTAGATTTGTGAAATCACAAATCGGAAGCAATGGTTGTCTGAACTACTTCACAATTTATGTTTATGTGAAAATCTGCAGGTAAACTAAGTGGAAAACTATCATTTGATTGCTAACACGTTAATTAACCAACCTCTTACGTGATTACTTTTTGATTCTGACACTGACAACGCTTCATCAAAATGTCGTTTGTTAAATTCTCGAATATTGGCAAAACTGTGTGCCCTTTTCTTGTTGAAATTTAATGCACTTTGGTCTCTTTTGGTCAGTTTGTATTGGCAAGTTTGTTCCAGCTCCAACAAATCATCTCTAGACCATACTGGTCTACTGTGCTTTGTACCAAATATACTCAGATAAATTCTCAGCGTATCGTTACTCAACAATAGAAAACTTCCTTTAGTAGTAATGGAATGTTTTAATTCACCTGAATCCCAATAATAGTAGTAACGACAACTATTCAGTAAGTGTTCTGAAGACAGTGTTGTAGTTGATGATGACGATGATGATGATGAAAAGACAAAGTCTGACGTCAAATAAACTGGACATTTTGATACATGTTCAGTGTTGAATGAGGCTTTATGTTTCTCACTTTCATGATGTTGACTATGACGACTGTCGCACTTATTTCTTCTTAAAATAACACTAATTTGAAACCGAGAGGAAGTTATCCGAAACCATATTTCACCATTTTCAGGCTGCATTTTATCGTCTATCTTAACCCATTGTTCATTGTCGTTTTTATTTAAATTTTCTAACAGTATCATAATGCTTCCGTCAAATTCAGATTTACAATTACGATTGAAGTTTCTTCCTGAGATATGGTTACTGCTGCTACCCCAACAAGAGGCGAAATTACATGAGCATTTAATGTATGAGTGTTCATGGTTATTATTGAATTCACATGTCTTCAGCTTATCACCGACATTTAAACCAGGTAAACTTAACTCTAATTTCAACAGACGCTGGCTTGATGTTTTATGTCTGACTTTTGATATCGCAGTTCTTGGTATATCTGTAGCAATAATATTATCCGGTAGTGCAAATTGTATCACTGAGTCATTTTTGTCATAATTATCCGAGTATTCTGCACTTTGTGTTCTTCTCAGTGTAAAGCTGGATAACATGAATATAGTAAATAGGCTTTACTTAATTAATAAAACATATTGTAAAGAGTGTTAATTATTAAATGTGACTGGTTTGTTGTTTATTTATAATGGGAAACCACGTGACTCAAGTGTCAGTCGATCAAATCCAAAGATTATCCAATCTAACGAGAAGTAATTGTCTTTCTGAATAATTTTGTATATTCAAGTATTAGTTTGTAGGGATTTGATTGATTGGTTACAGGTTACGCACCGCGGTGGGTGCGTACTGATGAAGAGTCCCAAGCTAGGACGAAACAGCTGTCCAGTACTCCCAGGTTTTCCAATGGTTCTCTAACCAATGTCAGCTCATGATGAAATCCTGTAATTTTGTATATGTATGAATCGGCTTGAAATTCAGTTGCCTTTTGGTTGGCTAAATAGCTAATTACCATAGCCATAGATTGATTCTAGAATAGTGTGAATTTAATGTTTAGTTGTCAGTATGAGTAAGTCGACGTCTTCAATGTCTAATGAATATCATATACGGGCATATGACATTACACTTGCACACCTTCACAAGGCTGACAAATGATCTGTGAACTTGTCAATTCCTCAGTTATAACTGAAACACGTTAAATGAGTGGACAGTATAGCTTTCAGTTACACCTTCCTCATGTTTAACTCAAATATGCATAGCACTAGATTTTAAGAATGTTACACATAGACAATGGATTGGTGGATAACTCCACTGTCTTGGACGGTGAACTTCAGTTTCGTTGCAGTGGAATCCCTGTGTACTTTTCTGAAACGATAAAGATATGAATACATTATCATACTATTATCATGTGACAATCTAAAACAAGTGAACCACTGATCTACCACACTGACAACTAATTTTGCTACTTTACTCCTTATCAATGAAGCAGTTGGCATTAAACGACTAAGGCCGAATTTATGCATTCAGAAGGAAACCTTTGTTAATCTTGGATACGTAAATGTTAATGATTATTGTATATAAGTATGACAAGACCGATTGTTTGATGTGAGATGATAGGGAAAATTGAGGTTTGATATTTGGGTGCAGAATGTCACCACCGATGACTGCTGTAATAAATAACTTGGCAGAAGTTGGAAATCAAGGGTTATTGTATCGTTTTCAAGTGACCGAATGGTATACGAGTTCCTACGCAAAATGAGATGCTGCGTTCGAAACCTCGGTGACTGAGTGCTGGTAGGAAAAAGCTGTCAGGTACTACAAAGTCTTCCAAAGCTTCTATAACTGATGTCAGCTTGTGAATAAATTCTGATTTCTTAATCCGCTTCTTTTTATTCTTTAATGTTAGCATTTACCTTATCAAAATTCTCGACATGTTATGTAATATTTTAATTGCCTACTAAACCTATTAGTTCTATTCATTTCACATTAATTTTTAACGTCTAAAAAATTCTATGAACTGGCATACATTAAGCTACCCAAATTTTATCACTTAATATTGAACCGTGATTAAAAACACAAACATTGCATTGCATTTCATAAATATCATCTCAAATATTCACAACGCTGACTGAGATTCCTCAGCAGACATGGTTTCTGTGAATATATATATATATATATAAGCTATAGAAAAACCCTGCTGAAAATAGTCTACCCCTATTAATGTGGGATATCACTGATAATAACCTGCAGTTCTTGCTTCCTAACAAGAGAGATGTGATGCAATAAAAGGCTAGTCATTTTGTTCCCTCAGTACCGAACTCATCACAATGTGTGGCGATGTTCCAATCAGCTCGAAAAGGCATATCACGAAAAACTGACAACAAAATGTAAATAAAATTTGCCATCTGCAATCGACAACTTCAAATTTCACTGCAATTTACTTTGGTGGGGAACATTTCACGATACTTCAAACTGTGACACCACCATTCAGTGTTATGTGTCATCACGCATTTATACTTACCTTCCAGATTATTGTTATGGGTAGTTTCAGGCAAGCCCATATTGTTTTCTGAATAATTTCTGTTTTCAATGTAATTCGTAGTGAGATTTGAAGTCGAATCCTGTCAATTGCAGATGGCAACTTTTTTTCACATTTTATATTATCAGTTGGCCCGAGTCTCTAGCCATAATTCGAGTGATTCTAACTGATTTTCCTCTCCAAGATGAGTAGAACATCGCCACACATTGTGAGGAGTTCAGCACTAGGTGAACAAAACGACCACCCCTTGTTTATATTACTTCGATCCGATTAGCAAGCAAGCACTACTGCGTGTTACCAGTGATATTCTTTACTCACTCACATCAATCAAATAAACTTATTCTCAGGTGACCTGGAAAGTCAATATACCCTGTAGAAAGTTTGGTAGAATGAAGATTCATTAGGGAGGTTATTGGACATTAAATGGTTGTTGGCAGATATTTTGGTGTATCACCAGAATATGTGGTAACAACGATGGAAGGAAATGTCTCTATTCCTCACATTGTTTCATGTAATTTTACAGTAGCAACATCAGTATCATCCGCAGCACTCTCAGTAGCAGGAGAAATAACACAGACAGTCTTTAAGCACCTCGATAACAAGTAACTTATTCAGAAAACACTCACTACCGAATTGTCACTGAGGAGCATAGTTAATGCAGCAATGTGAATTTTATTTTCACACAAAGTGCTTCATACACTGAGACACAATTTGCATGGATGCAAGACTACTTTCCTATTGTAATTGACCGAGAATTCAAGGTGTGCGAATCCCATGCTTTCAAAGCATCCCTGTTGAATGAGTTTTATGAAACCGCTCATATTCTGGAAAATCATTCACTAAAAATCACCAATGTTCAACATCTACCCTGACTGTTGTACGGTGATGAATATTATCTAAAATACCGAGATTAAATGAATTCCCTGTCGCTCTCAAGAATCCAGGTTATATCCCTTATTTCGAAAGCTCGTTCAAAGGTTTGTTTGTATTTGCTTCTAGCTCCTGATCTCCAGACAGGAGTTTACTTAAAATTACAACTTGCTGTCTAACTGACATGCGGTAGTACCAAAACTGGGTGGCAAATGAGCCCTGCCTAATAAGAAACTTACAAACATTTTTCAGTCGTGCACGCATTATTAACAAATGCTTGGAGCATATATCCGTGCAGTAGTCTAACATTTACTCTAATTCGAGACAAAGCATTTGGAGAAAGTCTCACGGCTTCTATGGAAACATGCCATGTGAACATTGAAGTGTGTAGTAGCTTCAATTAGCAAACACTAAGAGTGTACTTTAACAACTCATTCAGCACAGAAAATCCACCAAGAACATCTGGGAACACTTCAAGGTGGAATCAGACTTCTCTAGGTCTTGTGAAAATGGTGATATATTCCACTGGTGATTTAGTAGAAATCATCAGTACTTATGGGATAACGATCGTGTTTCATCTTTCGTCGAACAGTACTTCGAATAAACTGCAACTTCCAGTGTGTGTTGACAAGCTAAACTGATATGAACATACAACGGTTGATGTTTACTATCCTCCAAGTTAAATATATTATTCTGACCTGGAGTGGAGTGCAGCTAATTTAGTAAGCCGAGTCCAAACAGCATTTGGATCGTGCGTAGTACGGAATATATTGCATGATCAGTTATAACTTCACACTCTGTGTGCTCAGCGACTTAGAATTTGTGATCGAATCATCGGACATAACATTATGGTGTTCCGGATAGCGTGAGTGGCTGAGCAGCTAACAACTTGACAGCCAGTCAACCGAGACATTGTAGGTCAGCACACAATTTGTAATGACGACGATGAAGTTCTAGGCTAGAAGATGTAGGGAAATATTTGCCACTAGTTCTGTTTACTGAAGTGTCATTTATCGATCAATGTTAGATAGTGCCGATCATCTTTTGCTAAAACGCACCCATCAAATCACCAGTTCCGATCAGTCATTGTAGAATTCGGTTGAGGCTTACAACTAAACATTGAGACAAAATATATTATCTTCTGGTGTTTTCAACAAGTAAATTTTCGATCAGTGTGAAGCAGGAAAATGAATGCCAGATTAGAATTCTGCCACAGTGATGGCATAAGGTTACTCATTACATAATTGTGTGTGATTTAATGCAAAGTGATACAGTGTTTATAGCTGGATGAAATTTCCAGCACCATTTATTGTTCTCATACATACCGGTGCATTCGTCATACAACTCCCTAAATTATCAATACAGACAAATGCCCTCACATTTGTTTGACTTGCATAGTCATTTCTTTCGTATATTAATACCGATCAGGTAAGTATTTGACAAACAAGGGTTTCCTGAGTGAAAACTACTCAGCATCCACCCAACATTTCTTAAACATACGTTCGATTTCACCAAATCAGTGAAAGATTGCAATGTGTTGAAAGGAGAATGCTCTCTACAGACGTGTGTTTCCTCTACATAAACATCCTGCCATTCAGCTTCCCCGTTCTCAACTCATTGTATCATCGGAAGTCTTGAAAACATCCCTAATATTTCTTCGATTTTCATTGCAATTTTTGTTTTATTGCTTCACGTTCCCAGTAATGCATAGGGCTTCAAGCTAGAGGCTTGAGTTTTCTACAGCAGTGCTTACTATTTTCACAGGATCGCTTGCTAGCCTCATGCCCAACCTTTCCTCTTCACCAGCTTTATTTCTGGCGTCGGCTGAGGATTGAACCCCGGACCATATCCATGGTCGGCAAGCGTCCCAACCGCTGTGCTAGCTTCTCTCTGGCAATACTGACATATATATATTACTACTGATTTTACTGGCATGAATAGTGCCACCTCTAATACTGCTTATATCAATAAACGGTAATATTACTTCAACGACGACTACAACTAATACTACCAAACACTACTACTTCTACTGTTAATACTCCTTTACACTATTGATATTCAAACTGATACTCTGATTGGTAGGACTACTAATTTGACCACCACAACTACAATTAATATTCTAAATAATAATACTGCAAACACTAATCCTTCAAACAATAAATCAACTTCTACTACTACTACTACTACTACTGC